ACTACATGTACTTTGGTCATTAACTAAGGTCGACTATTGTCATCAAGACATTGTGGAAAAACATAATCTATTGTCATGCCTAAGTTTGTTTGTGCTACACTACCCAGGCGGAGGTGAGCATGCTTGACCATGAACTACTAGGGTGAAACATGATTGACTATGGTCATTAAATAGCACAAACTACATGTACCTTGGTCATTAACTAAGGTCGACTATTGTCATCAAGACATTGTGGAAAAACATAATCTATTGTCATGCCTAAGTTTGTTTGTGCTACACTACCCAGGCGGAGGTGAGCATGCTTGACCATGAACTACCAGGGTAAAACATGATTGACTATGGTCATTAAATGGCACAAACTACCATGGTCATTAACCAAGGTCGACCATTGTCATCATGACATCTTGGAAAAACAGTCCATTGTCATGCCAAAGTTTGTTTGTGCTACACTACCCAGGCGGAGGTGACAACAGAATGAAATATTACATGCGAGTTATATTTATGCGACAACATAGGTAAAATCATTCTGGTAAATGTACATTCAGTTAGAAAAAGCAATGTAAATAAAGCACACAAATTTGTCTGTACTTTTGCTTATATTCTTCAATTTTAGTTAATTTTCAGTTTTTAGTCCCCGTTGGACGAGACGCCTGGACAGATTTTTTTTCAAAGCTGGTACAAAGACAATTCATAATGGGAGACATATGTAGATCGATTTATTTTTTATTTGGTTGACCTTTGGTTGACTGGCGGCCATTTTTGTCCCAAAAAATACAAAAAATCAACATTTGGACGTGTCATCAATCGTTTCTCGGACATGCCTTTACTGATTTCATTCAAACTTAGTCATAATACCTGTTTCATACACATTTGTGTTTAATATGCTAAATACTATCCTAACATAATCTGACTATGCTTTTCATTGTTTGACAAAGTCACTAAAAACATGACAGGGACAAACAAAATCAAAAAAATTGGCTACTGTAAAATACTTTATTTTCGCTTGGAATTTACTTTGGCTATTTTTGCTGAGGAATGGTTAGGTGAAAATAAAATCCAGTGAATATAGCCTTTCTAGTCCCACTGTTGTCTTTGTCAAGCGGAGCTTATTCTATGAGTGATTGTCTGTCTTCGTCTGTCTACCGTATATTTACGTACACATGTACGAGGGACGTTCAATAAGTAATGCCCCTGACCCATTTCCCATAGCAGGCGAATAATGAAATTTGGCACAGTTATTAGTCTGTCTCTACATAGGAACCACCCAGAGTTATGCATTTCTTCCATCGTTTGATGCAGCTCTGGACACCGTTTTTGTAGAACACCCCAGGTTGGTCCTCCAACCACGTCGTAACTTCAAGTAATCAAGGCTGCATCATCTGGAAACGCTTTCCCTTCGAAAACAACTTCATGGCTGGGAAGAGATGAAAGTCAGAGGGTGCAAGGTCAGGAGAGTAAGGGGGATGGGGGAGGATTTCTTAGCCACATGCCCGTGTTTCTGATCTGGCGACATGCGAGTTGTGGACCGGAGCATTGTCCTGCAGGTAGAGGATACCTTTGCTGATTTTGATAGCTTCTCTTAATTTTATTAAAAGTGAAGCGTAATAGGCTCCTGTAATTGTGGTACCCTTTGTCAGGAAATCTGTCATCACTACTTCGTCCTGGTCCCAGAAGACTGTGAGCATGACCTTGCCAGTGGAAGGCTGCACCCTTGCCTTCTTTGGAGGTGGTGAGTCCAAGTGTTTCCACTGCATTGACTGGCTTTGGTCTCTGGATCATAGTGATGGACCCAAGTTTCATCCTGTGTAATCAGTCTTTTGAAAAACTTTGACTCATCTTGGCACAGCTCCAAATTCATCCTAGAGCACTCAATGCATTCTTGCTTCTGGGAAGGTGTGAGCAACCTGGGAATCCATCTGGCAGACACCTTATGCATATGCAAATGGTCATGAATGATAGTTTCCACAGACCCTGTACTAGTCTTGACCTCTTGGGCTATTTGGCGAACAGTAATGTGTCAATCTTCGAAAATGGCTGCCTCAACTTGACGGATAGATGCCTCGTCAATGGCAGAAAAGGGGTGACCAGGTCTTGGAGCTGTTTCCACAGACTTCCAGCCATGTTTGAATTCACGATGCCAGCGTTTAACAAGGTCATATGATGGGGCATCATCACCATAAGTTTCTTTCATTTCATCAAAAGTCTTCTTTGGTGTGCGTCCTTTCAAATACAAAAAACGGATCACTGCGCGACACTCAACTGGCTTCATTTCACACCTGACTCAGTTCAAACACCTGTAAATCAGAAACCACAATTAGTTCAGAGCTGTTTTTTTGCAACATAACCCATAGAGATGTAAATCATTACACATGCAAAATTTCATTGAGATCAGACAACTGGAAGTGGGTCAGGGGCTTTACTTATTAAACGTCCCTCGTAGAGGTAAACCTTGGGCAGACCTCTCTTAGATTTGTTCATTTCATGATGATGGTAAAGAATGGAAAAAATTTAAAATATTTATGATTTGTTCAATTATGCAGTAATCTATTTTTTGGGGGATACCATGTTTACCCAGTGTCTCAGTTTTGTGACTGTCCTGAGTGGGTTAGGGTTAAGAGGCACTTTGTGGGTTTTCCAGCGAATGAAGGCATTCTGCAAAAAAATTTTTCTCGCAAAGTGGCTTGACCCAGCTCGGAGAATGCCTTCATTTGACTTTTGCCGACTTGCAGGGATACTCGCAAAGTGCCTCTAGAGATACTCGTATATAGATGCTGTCCTGGTAAATTTTGCCGTGTGCTCAGCTTTGTTATCTCAGTGAGCAACAAGCTCAGTTTTATATACCGGATTCTGCCCTAAATTCGCCCTGGGCGATTTCACGGCTGGTGGACGCTTATTTGGGGTTCAAAATTTCAAAAAAAGATCATCAAATATTTTCTGGAGACCTCTATTTTTATTGAAAAATCCAACTATGCCGACTTTCAATGCCGGCAGTTGGGCCACCAAAGACGAAAGAAACTATTGCAGAAGCTACTAGTAATCTAAAATTTGATACATTTTTTTCTTGCTGAAATTATAAGTAAGACCGCCTAAAATTTTATTACAATGTCACCCAGTGCCATTTTTCTCCAAAAAGTACATATTTTTTTTTTTACTGGTAACGAAAGTATATACACGTATCTAAACTAAGTTTCAAATAAAAATGGACACAACTGCATTGCGTAGCAGCAAATGATCTGGGTTGTGCAATCCGGTCATGCTGCGTTTCATTCAGCAGTGATATAATAACGTACAAAAAATAAATTTGTTGAATTGTTATGAAATGCAAATAAAATTCAACTTAGTTTCCTCGTAAGCAAATGATTCCGGACGCATATAAATGCTCGATGCTGTAGGGTATCCGCCATGTCCTTTCACTTGCATGAGTTGACCTAATAGGTCAAATTGCTAATTAACCAATCAAAATGCTGGATGATGCCAACGTGTTTCGATTACCATAGCTCATTTAAATATGTTAATGTTATTGAACGCAACACGAAAGAGATTTGCCGATGTTGTAGTACGATCTTTCGACATGATTTTTTTTTCAAATCAAAAAATAAACTGAGCATTAGAAGAATAATTTAACATTGTTTACAGTGATAACAGCTACCGGTAATTTTCGAAATGAAGCTTACCCATTCACACTAGTCACAATAAACATACTCTTGAATAAAAACTTAAATAGACTATTTTAGGCATCAGGAAAGATTGTAATGTCCGAAAAATAATGCCAAAATATTTAAAATAAAACTTTAAAATCAGCGATTTCTTGGTCCCATTTTATTTTTTTTAAAAACCCAAACTGCTGTCACGGCAGAATCCAGTAAATGGTTATTTGTAACTATCACAAGGCAGACATTCTGCATATTCCCATAATCCATTCATCATGCATATTCGTTTTTCAATCCAATCCAATCACAACTGGATTTTTAGTCCCCGTTAGGACGCAGTCCGAAAACGGAGACTTATGTTTTGACCTCCGTACGTCTGTCAATGTGTCCGTCCATCCGTGCGTCTGTCCGTCCAGAGCTGTATCTTAGAAATGCCTGGACCAATCACAATCTTCACACATAAATCATACATGATATTATACATATGCACATCAATTTGTTTCACAATCTGATTCAAGATGGCCGAATGGCGGCCATTTTTGTTCTAAAAATCATCAAAATCAAGCATTTCATGGCTGTTTACAGTATATACGTTTGACATTATAGGACCTTGATGCACATCATTTTGTTTCCAGATAAGATTCAAAATGGCCGACTGGCGGCCATTTTGTTTTAATAAATGTGGTTCTAGTTCCATATCTCTGACTTGCTGTGATTGATTATGTTCAAATTTTAAATATTCATTATACATCATGTCACAGATATACAGATATATTGGTTTGACGATCCTATTAAAAATGGCCAAATGGTGGCCATTTTTGTGCTAAAAAATCATCAAATATCAACCATTTCTGGCATTTATGGATGGATTTTGTTCAAACTTGGTACATACATTAGACATTACTAGTGGCCATTTTGTTTTAATGAATGGGCTTCTAGAGCCATATCTTCGACATGCTTTGACTGACTAAATTTTATATATTCATTATACATGTATTCAAAATGGCTGATTTTGTTTTACTGCTGCTCCAGAGCAATATCTCTCAATACTCGTTTGACGATCAGATACAAATGTCAATCATTTAAATGTTAAACAATCATCATAATCATATTCCTTACATGTTTATATTCCAGCTATATTACTATAAACAAAACTATTATTTTAAATTCGATAACTAATGGGGACTGTGCCATGCATGGCTTGTCATTGATATCCTTATAGAGTAGGTGTATGTAATCTAATTGCATTCTAGTTGTTGATACTATAGTGTTATAGACACCCATCCACAGCTGTATTGGCTCTATTTGTTACGAGAGGTGTAGAAAACCCCAAAATGTTTATTTTGGAGGAATTTTTATTGTTTTATACTTCGCACAGTGATTTGGTAATGCCAACAACTTATCGTGACTTTATCATTTATATATGTTATTTTCATGTATGTAATTCAGTAAATATGGTAATATAAATATTTGTTATGTTTTATATTTGTTAGGATTAATTATTCATCCAACCGATCCACTGGTATTGTCTAGTTCTAAAGATGGTACTATTAGAGTTTGGCGATTGGATACATTTGAACAGGTAAGTGACTTAGTTATATGCCGATTGAACACCTGTTGTTCATATCATATTTGACTAATCGCATGTCTAAA